TGGCTAATATCCTCCCCAATATCAATTTTAGCTAACAATGTTTGGAGCGGGTCATTATTAGCAAACGAATCCAACTCCTCTTGAATCAACTTATCTATCACCAAAATACTTGCACATTACTCCACTATATTTGGATGCTTCATTATTTTCTCCATATTGAAAGTGATTTGCTCATCACCAAAGCATAGACTTATTGTCCCTTTCTCTACATCCACTAATGCTTTTGCCGTAGCCATAAATGGTCTTCCAACAATTAGTGGAATCTCTTTATCCTCTTCAATGTCAATGATGATAAAATCAGTAGGATATATGAATGATTCAACTTTCACCAGTACATCCTCAATGATGCCGTATGGATATGAGAGGCTTCTGTTCGCTAACTAAAGTGTAACAGTTGTAGGACTAGCTTCTCCTAAATGGAGCTTCTTAAAAATAGAGAGAGGCATAAGGTTCACATCAGACCCCAAGTCACATAGTGCACAGCCTTTAAATTGTTCCCCAATTAAGCATGGGATAGAAAAAGAACCAAGATCCTTACACTTCAGAGGGATGTGGGGCTTAATTATACTGGTTGCATACTCAGTAAGTCGTCTCTTCTTGCTTAACATATCCTTGAGAAACTTGGCATATTTGGGCATGTGCTCTAATGCCTCAGAAAAAGGAATATTTATATGAAGTTGCTTGAAGATTTCCAGAAACTTAGAGTATTATTGATCTTCAACCTGCTTCTGAAAAACTTGAGGGAAAGGAAGTGGTGGCACCACTTTAGGACGCTCAGCTGTCTTCTTCTTACTAGTCACACCATTAATTTCATTCTCATCAACAATTGGTTCATTTTTGCTAGGCTCAGAACGTACCTCAGTTGTTTGTTTTGACTTCGATGCCTTAGGAGATATATCAAGTAATTGCTTACCACTCCTCAAGGTGATCGCGTTGCACTCCTCTTTACCATCTTTACGAGGATTAGGTACAGTATTGCTTGGTAACCCTCCTTGTTGAAGCGCATTCATAGCAGTTGTGATTTGCCCCATTTGCACCTCAAGATTCCTAAGTGATGAGTCTACTCTTGCATTAATGTTGGCTTGCTCTTGATTACTTTTAATTTGAGAAGACTGAGCTTAGCCATCATTTCCTCTAAATCAACCTTGGGCACTTGGTTAGGGATATGTTGCCTTCCCAATTGAGAAAATCCAGGAGGTGAGACTTGCCTTACACCAGAAGTTGACACTTGATCCAGTATTGAACTGTGTTTCCAAGACAAGTTAGGGTGATTCCTTAATCCTGGGTTGTAAGTGTTGGCATAATGGTTGTTCTGATTATTACCCCAAAAATTTCCAGCATAGTTCACTGGCTCTACTTGTTGAAACGTAGGGCACTGTTCAGAAGCATGTCCATCTCCGCAGTAATCGCATGGGGTGTATATGGCATTAACCCCTAGTTGTCCTCTATTGGATTTGTCAACTCGTGCTTCTAAGTGGTCAAATCTTTTGTTAAGAGTATTGAGCATAGCTATCACTTGTGAAGAAGAGTCACCAGCGGCATTTTCTACAGATTTCACTTGTTTTTGTTCATTACTATTCTGAATGTAATTAGCAGCCAAGTCGTCCAAGCAACTCCAAACATGGTTCATTGGTTGCTTGGTAATTCCTCCATTTGTAACAGCATTTAATTCATATTTGGATTCAGGTGTCAATCAACTACTAAAGATTTGAAGTAGGACCCACTTCTCTTGATTATGTTTGGGCTTTGTCTAACCAGCAACTTGAATCTTTCCCAAGCTTCATATAGGTGCTCATCAAATTCTTGGCTAAAATTCATCAATTTGGCTCTAGCATCCACTATCTTGTTATGCGGGAAGAATCTAGATTGAAACTTCTCTTCTAGGTCATCCCATGATGAAATATTGCCTTCTTCCAGGTTGTTGAGCCATTCTTTAGCCTTCCCTTATAAAGAGTGAGGAAAGAGTTGAAGACGAATGACATCACTAGGAACTCCATTTTGCTTAAAAGAATCACACACATCAAGAAATTCGACTAGATGTCGATTGGGATCTTGATTACTGTATCCCCTAAATTGCCCAATAAGTTCCAACATTTTGAGCACTGTTTACTTAATCTCAAAATTAGTGGCTTGGAATTGTGGTACTTTGATTTTGGATTGGTACCCTCGAGGTTGTTTCCCCAAGAAGTCATTGACACCCAACCTATCATTCTCATCTTCTGCCATCTCTTTTTCTAGAGTTTTGCCAACTAGATGCTCAGGTGTTGTTGTCTCTAGAAGCTCGTTCACACTTCTCATCTTCACAGGTGTATTTCTTGATTTACGTGGCATATACTATGAATTACTACAAAGACAAAGAGGGAAAAGATCAAGAATCGAAGTGGACAATGGGAAAAAATAAATTAAAATTAAAATAAAGAAAATTGTCCTAACTATCAAAATAAGCAAAAATAAATTAAGAGAAAAAAAAACTAAATGCTTAAACTTAAATTACTAAAGGTCCTCTAATTCTAAAAACTAATTGCCTTAATTCCTGGGCAACGACGCCAAAAACTTGATGCACACAATTTGTGAATGATGCAAGTGCATGTGTCGATCAAGTAATAAAGAGTAAGTATAGAGTATCGTTCCCACAGAGAATTAGGCAAAATAGTGTTTAGGCATTGAAGTTCCTGTTTTCAATTAAGTTAAGCAAGCTAAATTATGAATGATCGGATAAAAAGAATAAAGATAGAAAAAAATTCAATATTAAAGGCAACCTAGAGTTACTAATCCCTTACTAGTTTCATAGACTTTTGCTTTTTATTTAACTAATTAGTCTCAATGTTAATTTAGTTAATCTAGAGTATTTATAGCTAAAAGTGTATGTCTTTCGATCCACTTATAACCCTCTTCTAAGTAATAAGGTTATGTCTAACTCAAATACTTAAGAGGATAAATTGATTTCACTCTTCATCAATTATATGGGGCTCCTAGGTATATTTCTATTCTACTCGCAACTTAGATAAAAATCTAAGCCCATATTACTCAATCCTAGGGCCTACTTAAGATTTCCTTCGTCAAGGCTAACCTTAATGCTCAAACTCATATTTAATGATGGCCAAACATTAAATAGATATATTAAACCAAGATTAAGTAACCAAAATTAACATCAAGCATAATTCATTAAATGAAAACAAAGTCTAATCCATAAGTAAGTTCATAGCTACTCCAGATTAAAGAAAAGAACTAGCCACACATGGCCAAAATAAAATCCATAACGTGAAAGATAAATATTCAGAATGAAATAACAGAAGAGAAAGATGAAGAGTAGAGAGCAAAACGGTGTATAATCCTTCTTTCTTTAGCTGCTGTCGCCGGAAGAAAAGAATGAAGAATCAGATATCGAAGCTTTGTTGCTGTCCTACTAAATTCGCGTTCCCGCTAAGACCGTTCGTCCCAATTCCTCGCTGCCGTCACAGTGAAGAGATTTACAAATGGACTCCACTGCTCTCTACTCGCTGCTTCTTCTCTGTCTTCAGCTCTTGCTGCCGCTGACAATAGCACGACGAAGTTGAGATACCCCCTTGCTGCTATCCCCGGTTCCTATTTATAAGTGTTGCGCGTCTTCTCTCCCTTGAATTGAATCCACCGCCTCCTATACATATCTATCCGTATATATCCAATACAATATAATATATTATCTTATATCATGATGTTGTGCTTAAGATCACGGTTCCTTGTTTCCTTCAATCAATATAATACAATATATTATATTTGACTCATTCCTTGATTCTTGACCAGGACCCACAGCTTCTTCTTTTCTCCCCTCTTCACGCCTTTGATTCTCATATGTGATGTGAATATATATATTTATATATTATTTGCTGCATAGGTTGCTCCCTTTTGTCTCATCTTTTATTTGTGATATTTTCTTCTCTCAATAATTTTATATCTCCTGCATTAAAAATAATAAAAGATTTGAGTAGATTTTATGCAAAATCATCTTTTATCTTATAATTAATTTAAAAGAGGATACATTAATAAAAGATGGTTAAATAGGTGTAAATTATCCACAGATTTCACTAAATATATTTCAAAATCTATACCTATTAAAAATTAAAAATAATCATTATCACAGGGCATGTGTCAGAAAGAAATTTCGACATACTCTCGAATCTGAAGTTGCTTTTCTTGGGATCACCAGGCTTGATCTTTGACATTGATCCTCTTTGGGTTCCTCCTTTCCAACTTGAAACTATTCACTTGGAACACATGAGGGCTCCTAGACTTCCTGCATGGATATGCACGCAAACACGTCTAAGCAGCTTAGGAATTAAATATTCAAGAATTTCATTCGAGTCTCAAGACAGCTTTTGGAAATTTGCGACCCAACTAGCATACTTACACTTAGAGGATAACACAATTGATGGAGAGATGTCTAATGTGTTACTGAATTCTACAGTCATAAATTTGGATTCAAACAAATTGAAAGGCAACGTTCCTCAGTTATCACAAAATGTTGTCCAGTTTAGTATAGCAAACAACTACTTGGGAGGATTTATTTCTCCGTTAGTGTGTCAAAGAATAAAGGGGAGAAGCAAATTGAAGTCTTTGGATACGTCTAATAATTTATTATCTGGGGAACTGCCAGATTGTTGGATGAATTGGAAATCACTGGTTGTGCTTAAGCTTGATGGCAATAATCTAAGAGGTGGAATACCTCCATCAATGAGTTTATTGTCTAACCTTGCGTTTTGCATCTCAATAAAAATAAATTATTTGGAGAGATACCTTTGTCACTGAAAAATTGCCACATCCTGCAAGACATTGATTTAGGGGAAAACAAATTTTCAGGACACATACCAACTTGGATTGGGGACAAAGCTAAGTTTATCAGACTGAGATCCAATCAACTCCGCGGAAATATCCCCCCACAAATATGCCAATTAACTTCCCTCATAATATTGGATTTGGCGGACAACAAAATATCCGGTTCAATCCCAACTCGCCAAGAAAACATGGCGGCCATGGTTTCCCCTAATTCTTCATATGGTGGAGTTCTAAACTACGGCTCTAGAACTCTAAATTATACTTTCATAGTGAGAGAAGAGGTTTTGTTACACATGAAAGGCCAAGGATTGAGCTATAAACAAAACTTGAATTTGGCACGTTCTGTTGATCTATCAAGTAATATGATGTCCGGAACATTACCTCTAGAAATTTTTGCTCTCACGGGATTACAATCCTTGAATTTGTCTCATAATCAATTTGGGGGGAACATACCAAAGGAGATTGGCAACATGAAACAATTGGAGTCTATTGATGTCGCAAATAATCGACTTTCAAGTGAAATTCCCCAAAGTATGACCGAATTGTCTTTACTAGCAGCCTTGAACCTCTCCTTCAGCAATTTCATTGGAAAGATCCCATTAGGCACTTAACTTCAAGGTTTGATGCACAAAGTTATATTGGGAATCTTGATCTATGTGGACCTCCACTTCAAAAGAATTGCATCACGATGAAGACAAGAATTCCAACATAGAATCTGACAACCAAGATGATGAATTCCTGTCTTTCTTCTACACTGGGTTGGGAGTTGGATTTGCCATGGCTTTTTGGGGAGTTTGCGGTGCCATATTTCTCAACAGAAATTTCAGACATTCTTACTTCACATTCTTGTATTTAGTTAGAGACAAACTTTATGTCATGGCGGTTCTCATGATAAATCGTAACCATTGATTGAAAGCCTTGTGGGGACTATCTGGTAAGTGAAACAAACGCTGATTTATGTTTTTACCTAAGCTTTTTCTTTATACTTGTAAATCGTGTGTGTATATATATTTTCAAGTTCATATAAAATTGCAGACTTTCTTTTTCAGTTCTAACCCCAAATTGTTACATGATATTATGACAAAATAGCAATGACAGAATGAGACAGTTTAGATTCTATACGTGTTTAGTCTTAGAGTTACAGTGCGTATGTTTGCAATTATCGTTAACTTCTACACATTGCAGGCTCTTCCCATGCGTACTTCAAGATCAGATCTTTGACCCAACTTTGCCAGAATCGACCCAGTGGCTGCTGCTAAAGACATGCACTACAATCGATGTCTTAATTACGAGTAGTTTGTACTTTTTGTTTTGCTAAAGGTCTCGGTTTTACTTTGTTATGTAATATTAATTGATATTAGATTAAATTAATTGAAATACTTTAAACATCTTACAGCCCACCGAGTGACAACAAATTGTGAGCGATGTACCTCTTCTAAAAAATTGGCATACATTTGCAAGATAGCTTTCAGTCGAATAAAATGGATAGCAAGGAACATATTCAATATTAAACTGACAATAAATAAGTAATTAATATAAAACACAGATAACTAATCTATGAATATTAAAAAATTAGTTACATTAGTTATTTGTCATAAATTGATATTGTGTTTTCTAAAATATCCCTGTCAATCGTATGCATAGAAATTATCCTTTCATGAAAACTTCTTAACATGTGTAATGACCAATAGCCTATAATGATTACTTGAGGGCAAAATGGATAAATATTTAAGATAAAGTAAATCAAGATCTTATATTTAAAAATAAATTAAATTTTTAGTTATCTCTTATATTAATGACCTGACTGATAACCTCTCAAAATTCCTACTTATTCAACTTGTTTTAGCGCTCTTTTATTTGGTTTGAAAGTCAATTTTGCAGGAAAAAGCCTGAAGCGAGTAAGCAGTAGAGACCAGAAGTGGAGAGGCAGAAAAGAGACTAACCGCAGCGGCTCATGGAGACAAACGCCACAACGGCTTTAATAGAGAGGAAGGAGTGCACTTCTGTGTGAGGCGCCGCGGCTCCTAACCACATCCGTCGCGACGCCCAAGCTATCATAAAGAAGTCCCTGTTCAGTGTGATCCGCTGCGGCCTATGATGACGCACGCCACGGTGCCAAAGATACTTCCAGGAAACCCATTTTGTGTAATCCGTTGCGGCAGATGACCACATCTACCACGGTGCCTGACCCCTCGTAGCTATGCGTTTTATAATGTCACTTAAAAATTAGGACATATATAGGGGGAGACTCAATTTTGCTAGGTACACTTCGACTCTGGGGCGATTTTGGAGGCTTGCTCTGCTAGGGTTTAGAGCCTTGGATGCTTGAAAACTTTGGGCTCGAAGATAGAAGAGATTCGAAGCTTTTCACTCAACTTTTCTAGGTTTCCTTCTTCTTCCCTTCTTGTTTCTATAATGGCTAATAGCTATTCTTATAGTTGTAGCTTCTTACTAAACATATATAGCCAAATCAGTTTTTCTAGGGTTATTTTGATTTATTGTATGGATTGAGACTTGGTTTTACTATCTCTTGAGTATTAATGATAATGTTCAGTTGTTTTTACCTTGCGCTTAATGCTTCCTTGTGACTGGCCATCATTTGGATTGATTGTTTGATTAGTTTAAACTTGAGATAGTTTAGTTAATATGTGACTTTGGTAAAAACGTGCTAGTCCGGAAATTTAACTGAGTAAATAGACGGTTTGTTGATAGACTAGAGATGTATCTGTTAATCTAGCATAGACTAAAGGGGTTTTGGTTTATAAAGTGCAACCTTTTAAAACAATGCAAGAGATTGCTATGTTCTATTGAGGATGCAAATATTTGGTTTTGACTTGAGAAAGCTAAATCAATTCTACGAACCCAGGCTAACTGAACTTATTGTTAAGTACTACTTGAGAAGTGATTAATCTAGTTTTATGAAGTATTTTAGTGAAGAATAACCCTAGTCTCTTAATTGTTTCAAAGTCAAGTTGATTTTATACTGCCTTGAATCATTATTTTCCTAAATTCATTTCTCAACTCTTTTATGACATTTGTCTCACTTGACCTAATCAATAACACATTAATGACTTTTAACTCATCTAGTCTTAGTCTCTGAAGGAACGATACTTTTTATATTACTTATGACCCGTCTGCTTGTGGTTTAGCTAATCGGCGAACACTAACCCAGTACTTATCTCTATGGGTTATTTTTGTTTAGTTATTTGCAATAAATTGATATCGTCTTTTTTAAAATACCTTATCAATCATGTGCATTGAAATTATCCTTTCATGAAAACTCCTTAACATGTGTAATCACTAATAACCTATAAGGATTAGTTAAGAGTAAAATGGATAAATATTTGATACAAAGTTAAGTGAGATTTATATTTAAAACTAAATTAATTCTTCAATTATTTCTTATGTTAACGACCAGACTCGATACTCATCTCTGTGGGCTATTTTTGTTTAAATTTACAGTAGATTTTTTTATTATAAAAAATTCTGCATAATTAATGATATAAATGGACTTGCAAGTATCATGTCCAATAGTATGTCTCTATGTATTGACTCGAGGACTTTTCCACTTTGCCCTTTGTGATTATAGATTTTTTTCTTTTTTTCCCCCTTCAGTTAAACATCATTTCAAAGTGGGTGCATGTCAGTTTTTCTCTTCTTTATTTCCCACATTTCCCACATTAGGAAACCTATTTTTTCACCTGAAAAATTCAGCATAATCAGCGTTTTCTTAAGCAAATAAATGAGTCCCGTCAGAAGGATCATATTAGAACGCTAGGTCTATATCCCATTTATGCGCACTGTTTTAATAAAGTCAAGAATGAGCTCCCCCCCCATTCAATTGCCAAGCGACGTCGTTCTGTGGGATAAAGTCAAGGAAGTTCCCTCCATTCAAGACAAGTTCTTCTTTTCTTTTTCTTTTTCTTTTTCTTTTTAAATAATGAGCAAGGTCCAAATTTTTTCTTCTCTTCTTCTTTGAAGAAGTTTACCAATGGCGACTACCCCAGCTTCAGCCGGAGCAGAAAAAATGTCTCTAGAAGATCAAGACAATGAATTTTTTGAGTCAGGGAAGTCCAAACTATCAAGCAAGATCCTGCAAACCCACTCTTTATAGGCAACTGTTGAAGCATCTTGTTGACATTATTGGCTCCAAAGACTTTGTGAACATTTAGGTCCCCTTTGATTCGAAGCATTGAAAATGAAGGGTAAGGATTAGGGTTGGGATTGAGAAAAAATGATAAAGAGCATTTAATATGAGTGATTTTTTGCTACATAAGATTAGGCAATCCCACATATATAGATTTGGCCAATCTCAAATAACAAGCAATCACTCATACCAAATACTCTTTTAACATATTTTGTCAATCTCAATCACAATTCTAATTCTCATTTGTAATGCTTCATACCAACGGGACCTTAGCAAACTTGTGGGGATCATTAGTTAGGAAATAAGGAGCGAAGACGCGGTCAGTAGCACGTCTTCTTTGTAGCAGCTTGCATGCCGCACACGGCACACGGTGACGTTGCACCCTGCTTCCTTCCTCCCTCTTTCATTTCTCCAATCACTTGATTAGGTGTTTACTTGCATATGAAGACGATGCTGAAGAAGAATGGGGAACGAAGAGAGAGGATTGAAACGGCTCAGACCTTCAAACTTTCCATATGCAGCTAGATCGCTCATCATCGAATGGTTAAGATCATTCCTAACTTCAATGAAACAGTACATAGCGGTAATGAGCTCCTTGCCTCTATGCAGTACTGAAACTCGTTCCCCGTGTCTCAGACATTTCTTGCGTCACAATCATATTTAACGTTATTTCTACTTCTTGAGGACTTGTCCACATTGCTCTTAAATTTGTGACAATTTTTTCCACATTGCTCTTAAATTTGTAATGAGCTCCTTGCGGCTACGTATTGAAACTCGATCCCTATATCTCATATACATTTCTTGTGTCACAATCATATTTAACGTTATTTCTACTTGCTGAGGACTTTTCCACATTGCTCTTAAATTTGTGACAATTTTTTTTGTGTATACATCACTTCAAAGTTTGTCAGTTTTCCTCTCTTTAGTTTCTTTTCATGTATTTTTATTGTTTTATTAAAAACTCCTTTTCTTTGATATTTGCCTTCAAAATAACTTCGCTGCTTATCGATCTAAATAAAAATCTGCATAATCAATAAATGGTTTCTCAAGAGATAGATATATATGTCTTGTGTAGACTTTACTTCTTACCATCTAAATATTTTACCATATTGACAATAGATTTTGCTTCCCCAATGAATCAGCATGATTAATTAATTGTGTTCCTATGAATAAATGGATTGGAAGGATCATATCATATTCAATACTATACATCTTTCTTGAGGGATTTTCGACTCTGCTGTTTAATTTGTGACCCTACACACACACACACACACTCTAACAGAGATCATGTCATGGCCCAAAATTTAAAGGTAACCGACACGGAATATGAGAAAACTCACATTCATTATTATAGGGTGTTCACAGGACAGGACCGAGACAGGCCTGTCCTGGTGAACCGGGACGGAACAGGGATTTTGTCCCATGTATCGTCCCATCCTGATTCTGTCCCAGTCCTGGAACCGG